ACACACACACACACACACACACACACATAAGCCATAGCACCTTGCATTAACTGTCCTGTGATGACGGTGCATAAATTAGACAATACAAAATTGAACGATGCAGCAGAATCACAGTGCAATAGAAGTATGGAAACAAACAATAATAAACAACAGTACAGTGTGCAGTAGTAGCTCAAGTGATATGTTTTTCCAACTTGAGGGGTTGTCACCATTATTAAATCTAATTTACAATTTTATTTACTGAACATTTTCTAAGTTATCGAGTGAAAAAGGAATAAAAAGCTTTATACATTTTATTTGATTGTGAATATAATTGTTGCATCAGTCCTAATACTCAGTATTAGTCATAAAGCAGCTGTGTCTGGTTCCCTCTGTGGTTCTTAATATATTTGTCTCCCTTCAGATCAAGACTGGAGCTCCCTGTCGATCAGAGCGTCTGGCCAAATACAACCAGCTCATGAGGTGGGAGTATATACACTTTATTGTATATGTGTATTCATATGTATGTAAAAAAGACTTTAATATGGCTTATAACACTTATGCAACTTATTATTCTTTTGCATTTCTCTTCTCTTTCCTTCATTCTTTGTCTTCTCTTCTCATACTTCACATTCATCTGCCTGCTCCACATTTCTCTCCATGTTCTTCCTCAACTCCTCCTCCTCCTCCTCTCAGGATCGAGGAAGAGTTGGGTGACCAGGCACGCTTTGCTGGGCACAACTTCCGTAACCCCAGTGCCCTCTGAGTGCCTGTGCTGAAGGCAGTGCAACACAAGAACTAAAATTAAATTAAAATACAAATCATTATATTTCCCTGGCAGGTACATGGTGATGAGATAATGACTCAACTGTTTAAACGCACTAATACTAAACTAAACTAACTGAAACACATAGATTTAGCAACAGGTTTTAGCAAGCGGCTGGCGTTATCACAGCCGGTTGCAACAAAGCCTTTAGGGAAAAAATCATCTCGCCTCGCAGCACAGACTCGCACTAACCTTACTGCACTTGTTAAGTTTCTTTCTCTTTGCCGATCCTTGTATCTCCTCATGACTCACTGCAGAAAAGTTCTGTTCTTGGTGCCCGGTTGTTTCCTCTCCCTCCTCTTCCTTGTGTTGCTTCTGATGTGAATACTAAGCAGCTTCTGCTTCAAGATTGTGTGTGTTGCTTTTTCTGTCTAAGGTGAAGCTCATTACAGAGATGGATAAATGTTACCTCAAACTAAAGCTTTCTGTGAATCTGTTATTTATCTCCTCTCTTTGTTGGTAATTTATGGATCATGGATGAAAAGCAGAAAACGACTTCTGCAGTCCTGCTCTCTAAAAAAGTGGAAACATATATATTCTCATCACAGCAGGTGTTGGACAAACAAAAAGTCCTAATGGCATCCTGCAGAAAAAACACAATGTCATTCCTGCAGGTACCATTCTGCTGGAATAGCATCCTACAGGATTTACAGTGATTGTTTTTCTGCATGACTTTCACTCTGCATGACGATCCTGCACAAATCCTGCAGGAGTGAGGAGGAGTCCTGCTTTGAACGTACCACATGGATTCAGACGGAATACACCCTGCAGGAATTAGCTTTAGCATTTCAAGCATGCAAGATGAAATTAGTCTGAAAGGATAACTCTGGTACATTTTTATGAACCATTGGGCTCATATTTATTCAGGTACACTGTCCCTCTAAAAAAAAAAAAAAACAAGTACAGTGTTAACAGGATATTTTACATGAAGTCTCTGACGTCCAGGTCATGAGTAGACAAGTTGGTTTTTTAGAGATAATATCACAGGATTCCAGTTCTTAATTTTGTACCTGTAAACCTCAGGATGCACTCTGAAAAGAGATGAAAATGGAGACTAGACAAATAAAAAGCTAAGCTAAAACAGAATGTTGGAATAAAATAAAAGAGAATGATTAAATAAAACAAGGTTAAGTTCCTCACCTGAAAAGAAGTCGCCAAGTCTCGAGCTCACCTCTGGCCCCGATCGCGTCACGTGCCGGCAGCTGTCGCGATATTTTCACTAATAGCGGCGCGTGACTTCCGCTGCAAAGATCAGTCCTCACGCGCTCGTCGTTATTGCACACACCGTGCAGCAGAGGGAGCGCGAGGCGACGATGATGTAGCTCCGTGAGTTCCTGTCGGTGGTGACGAAGATGACGATGATGATGCTGATGATGAAGGAAGGGCTGACTGGAGCCGCGCATGCGCACCATGGGCACAGTCTCCGGCCGGGTTGCCATGGTTACCACACAATAGGAGACGGGACAGGGGGCTGCGTGAAGGGGAGAGAAGGGGGGAGAGAAAGGGGGGAGGAGGAGGAGGAGGTCTGCAGAGCCGCTTGACTGGACACACCGCTGCAAGCTCACACACACACACACACACACACACAAACACACACACACACATAGGACATGCTTTAATTGTCCATTTAGTAATTGTTGGATTGTGCCACACGACTTGTGTTTTCTTTAATAACTCACTGTCATTTAAACACCTCTAATAAAACGTGTGTGTGTGTGTGTCCGTCCTCTTCTCTCCACATTCTCTCACCTCTGAGAACAAAGGCCTCGTCTCTGCCTCTTCATCGCGAGATGAAGACAAACATGTGGTGGTTGAGGCTGCTCACATACAGTAAAGGTGACTGTGGAGGGACTCAGCAACACAAGAGACAGAGGAGAGAGGGGGAGAGAGAGAGGGAGAGAGAGACCCTCCCTCTTGATCCCCTCCCTCCCTCTTCAGAGTTTGGCCCTCTCCTCCTCCACCTCCTCTTCTCTCTCTCTCTCTCCTTATGCAAATCACGCCCTCTCTCTCTCTCCCTTTCTCCCGACGTGCATCCCATCCCTCTCTCCCCTCTTGCTTTTTTAAAAAATTGTGACTGTAAGAACCGAGGAGGAGGAGGAGGTGGAGAAGGGGTATTTGGGGAAAGAAAGAAAAAAAGTGCAAGTCGTCTTAGTGGAAGAGGGGGAGTAGGAAGGGTGGGAGAGAGGTGGAGGGGGATAAGAAAAAAAGAGGGGGAGAAAAGGGGGTGGGGAAGAGGCGAGGAGGGGACGCATCAATTTGTACAGTCTCCAGTTGGCACCCCTGGTTTTTTTCCTCCCCCTGCAACGAATAGAAGGAGATTTTCTTCTTGTGCATTTATTGTTATGATCGGAGCTCGATGCAACATGAGCCAGCACGAGCCCGTGTTGACAGACGCCTGGGCTGTGAGGCGTGCGTGTCAGCGTGCACCATAAAAAACCCCGACCAAACAGAGGGAGAGAAAGGAAAAGGGAGAGTGAGAGTGGGAGCACGCATCGCTGGATATCATAGGTAAGAAGGAGAAAAAACATGGATGCTTTTATTTTTGTGCATTTGGAGACCTCCTTCTATCGCTGGCCACGTCTGTGCCCTCCCTCCCTTTTTTCCTTTTCCTCTCCTTTGTGCGTTAATTACCATCATCACCTATGCTCCTGCGTTTGTGGCTAAAATTGTATCCCGGTGCATGAATGTGGAGAGTGTGCACGACGCGCAGCCACATTCCAGCGAGGAGAGAGGGAAGGAAGGGAAGAGCCGGTGCGTAATGCCATGATTCGCCATTCCAGAGCCTATCATCTTTCTTTTTGAGATGTGCAGCGGCGTCTAGAAGCAGCACTGCACAGGCATCCATTCTGATTGTGTGTGTGTGTGTGTGTGTGCGCGCCGCTGAAAACACACGACTCTCTTCCCCCTCCACCCCAGTCGTCGTATAGCTGGACCGGGCGGTGAGGGCTAGACTGTGCGGGGCTGTGCAGCAGCAGCCTCGGCCGGTCTCGTCCACGATATCGCAGAGGGGGAGAGAGAAGAAAAGAGTCGTTGCAGTGCCCCTGCTCGCTGGTGATGTAAGCACGGCAACTGCATGCTGCTGCTTTGCATCGCATGCAGTGCAATTTGTTGATAATGCATGTGCGTGTGCTCGTGCAAATGCGTGTGGGACAGCATGCAGTGGTGTCAACGTTGGTGCATATTAGCGCTGTGTTTGTGGGACCATGGTCAGTGGAGCACAGACAGGCCGGTGGCTGCCACCTGTAACTGAGACGTGTAATGTACACACACACCTACTGGCCACTGATTGTTTGAACTTGTAGTCCTTCCTATGTTAATTGGGGTCGTTGTGCATGCACTGCATTGTCAGACAGGCCTTGAGGTGCCACCTTTCTCTATTGTGCAGGGATTGTCCAAAATATTACTCCTGGGTCTGTATCAGTCACTGCAGCATGCACTAGTAATTAATGCATAGCCATGTGTAGTGGAGCAGCTACAGTATTTACAGGAGCCGACTTGCCTCATCAACGCACACATATACACGTTTTTACTGGCCGCACAGCAGAGTGTGCATGTAGCCTGTATCAGCTGTGCTAAGTGTGTAGCCAAATAGCTTTTTTTTGTCATACAGCGGCGTGCACTATTTATATCCTCATTCAATATGCATGAGACAATTTTTCGTCATAGTGGTACATGAATGAATGGATCAGACAAGCCCTCGCACAGTAGTGCACCTATGTTGTCAGGCACACCCAAATGGATGGAGGATCTTGCTTGACGTTGTTCATTTCCCTTAATGGCTGGCTGGATAAATAGGCATGTGATTCTGCTGGCCGTAACCAGGGCATGTGGGTTAACCACAAGTGGCTGTGGGTTTGGGCTGTTGTGGGGTGAAGGTGGAAGAAGGGAGGTGTGGCCCCCACGTTCGCCAGGCGTTCATTGGAGTTCTCTGTCTTCTGCAGACTGCCATCCAAAATGCAGGCTACCAATCCACACCTTCTCTGTTCTGCATCTATTATCTGTGGTTCAGTGTTGAGGCTCCCAGTTCTGCTGCACCCAAAACAAAGCATTCTGCTCGGTTTAGCTGCTGGGCTTAAATGCTTCCTGGGTACTGTGGTGAAAACAGAGGAAAGAGGGGAGTGCAAAAGCAGTTGTGCCAATACAGTGTGAAGCATGCTGGGAATTTAAATTTTGCATCTGTGTTTTTGCTTTTGTAAACTCTGATGTTTTCATTGTGTCACAAATTCCTTAACTCCACACACTGCAAACGAAATTGCTCAGTACTGCATCCTGACGTGAAGTAATCGTTTTTTGCAAATCACTGTAGGTCTGTCTGTAGGATTTTCCATGCAGATAAATACTGAATAATACCTTCTTTGTTTATGCTTCTTTGCAGGTTTTGGTAGCTCTCATGGTGTAACACTCAGTCAGTAAGCAACAGGAACGAATTCAGTCCCCGCAATGGCTTGTGTTGTAAAATGGACGTTATAAAGAAGAAACAATGAAAACAAGGACACACAAAGAATCGGTATGCATGAGGCCTACATTTTTCTTTTATATATTTCTGTACTGTGACTTCAGGGATTGTGTACCTGCCTGATTCTTGTGTGTAGCACATTCAAAAGTACAACTATAATTAGTTCAGTGTGTGATAATATTTCAAAACAGCCGGGCTGACTAAGATGTAAATTATTTATTTGGTAGTGAGATGCAGTAATGTGGTCTAAAAAAAGCTGATTACTTGTTTATACTTTATTCTGTCGTCAGCCTCTGCCTCCTCTCTGTGTCCTCCCTTCACTTTGTTATGCCCTGTTCTTCTTTTCACCTCCCTCTTCTTTTTATTCTCAATTTGTCGTTGCCCTTGAATGGCACAAACTTGACTTTCTATGGGTTTGACTCATTAACTCTATATTTTCCTCAACCAACACATCTCTTTATTTCTCTCTGTACATTTCTAACATTGTTTTTAACCATTCATGCTTTCCTCTGCCTTCCACATTTGCCCTCTTTCGATGGACTTTGGGCTGTGCAGATGCCCATGCGCAGTGGGCGGCGGCGGGGGGCGAGTGAGGAGAGAAGGGGTAGACGCCCGCACTCCAGCCCCACTCGCCCTGAACGCAACGATAGACAGACGGTTAGAGCTCTACCTCTTTTGTCTCTTTACTACCCTGTCATTTTCACCATAGGTTTCTGTGTGTGCATGCAAGTAGCATAGTTAATACCAATAAAGACCTGTCTCTTGTATTGAACTGTGTGTATGTGTGTGTGTGTGTGTGT